TGGGGCGGGGGGGTGGGATCAAATTGCACGGTTTAAGCGGTAACGGCACATACTATACACACTGGGTGCACAGGTGCATATATGTGCAGGTGAATCTTCGAATGAATTGGATTCACATTGAGATTTTTTTTTCTCTCTTCCCTTTTGAAAATGCGGTCATGGATGTGAAATAGTTTTGCTTCTTTTTTTCTTTTCTTTTTGTAGATACATGAAACCAACATGCTTTGATTTTTTTTTTCCTCTTTTTCTTGTTTTTAGTTCACTGAAAGTTGAAGATGAATAAAAAATAACCATTTATTTGACTTGCGCCATCATGCTGATCACTTTGTGTTTGCCATTGCTTTTCTCATGTTTGTCAGCAACCTTTGCCATGCGTAGTGGCTGTGCTTATCTTTGAGTGTGGCACCCTGAATTGATTAATAGAGCAGCTTGAAGAGAACTCACAAAAATGTAGAAAGCTGCAAAGCGCCGTCCAGCTTATGCTTCGTTAAAACAAAGGGGCATTTCACGTTTGCTTTAGTGTGATATAGCCAAAGATGTTTAGCCAAAATTCACAGACTGCAGGAGAGGATGGCCTAAAGCTGGTTACAGAACTAGATGTTGCTGGTTTTTATCACATAAAGTTTGATTAGGAATCTCCTCAAAGCAAAATCTTTATTACAAGTACAAGTAGTTCATGAAGTTATTGAGCGTTCCCCATGTAGATACCACTGTTTATCTAACTAAAGCAGCATACTCAAGACGCCTACTGAGGAGACACTGTCTTAAAGGTTTTTCATATTTTGCTGTGATTTAAAAGGGAGATGAGATGGTGAATCTTTGATCTGACCTTTCCCGTTCAAAACTCTCGAGTCAAGATCATTTCAGTCCACCATGAAAACAAATATTTGGTGTTGGTTTAGATTAAAATAAACACACTAAGAGCTAAAGACAGTGTTTGGATAGAACTGAGTAATGATTCAAGTTTGTGACGTGGTAGCAGACAGTCCTTTTAAAGTTGACGGGGAATCTGAGCACAAACACACTCAAGATAATCATGTACAGCAAATTCCCAGTGATTATAGTTTACAGTTTTGGTTGCAACATCAGGTCATTCCTTAGGTGTACAGCGATTAGTAAATAATTTTGTATGCTTCTTAGATTGTGCTATGTAAATTATAAGAGCAAGAATGTGGAAGTGCTTGCATTGCTTGTGACAGCAGTCATTCTCAGTTGCTGTAAGTATTGTTCTACTTTTCTTCCAGCGGCATGCTGTCCAAATAAGCATAAAGAGCCATATACAGAGAGAATTTTATTGCACACGGTATTATTAATGATGTTAGTGGATCCTGTGACAGCTTGATAACCCTCGAACCACGCAGTCACCCTGCCTCAATTCAGATTTCAAAAAGACTTTTGCTTGTTTAAAAAAAACAAAAAAAAACAACCACTTAATGTCACAAATGGGTAATTTTTCATTCCTTCTACTGTGCATTTAGTTCAGTTGGCATACAGGGTGTCGCCAGTGAAAGCAGTCCAGCACAGTCTGTCGCAACTGGTTCAAAAGTAATCCTTTCTACAGTGTTTCAGGGTATCTCACTGCCCATTTCTAAAGGACCCAAACACACTCTTCCCCTCCTCTCCTGTTACATAATTGGTGTGTCTGGTTTTATTTGTCCCGCTGTCTGTCCTCATTCTTCGGCCCTCTGTCCAAGTATGAACGTGTGTGACTGCAGCTCTCCAGATTGCAAAGACAGTTAAATATTGGTCAAAGTTGAGTGTGTAGCGCGTAAGCACGTACTTCAGCAGAGGGTGGGGGAGCTGGAATTCAGCCGTCATCCTGCTCCACCTATCTCCCTCCACTGTCTCAGCAAGAGGTTTTCAACTCAGTACCTCAGAAAATAAATGTTTAAAAATAAATTCAAATCAATGTAAGTAAGTAAGTAAGCTTTAATCCTGCTTTGCTTTCTAAATACAAACTCGTAACCGCATCAGAGAGGGCAGGTGAAGGAAAATACCACTGGACCTCGTGTGCTCATGTTTGATTCACATCCAGTAAGATCAACTCAGGAAGTGAAATTTAAATAAAAATAAATGGTATGAGGAAATCATATTTATATTCATATAAAAAATACATCAACACCATTATAACAGGATATTCATAAGTCAGATGACTTTCATTTGCTGTTCACATTATAAGGTGGCTAAATTTAAATTAACCTAACTTTGACATACTGGTGAGCCCATTAGGGAACAATGTTCAGAGTGATCTGGTGCTTTGAAGGTCATTTATTTTTTATTTGTAAATGATACGGGCCTGCCTTCTGTGGATAAAGTTGATATAATGTAGAAAAAGATCTAAACAATGTACAGACATGGTATTAAAGTCTTAATAGGATAATAAAAAGTTAATACAAGGTTTGAGAGCTGTGATCTCCAATGGAGAGTGTGTCTCCTGTAAGAGATAATATAGTGCTGAAACATTATGGAACTTCTAGATCTCTGTCTTCTGAATAAATGGTCCAATAAAGGCCACTTTTATTCCCATAGCTGTACAAACCTCTGCTTGTAACATTTTTTTTTTTTAAATATGTCACTCTATATTTACTGTTGTTATTACCTCTAAGAATCTGGTCTTTAATTACTTTTTTGTTCATATTGTTTTTACTGACAAATTTAAACGCTAGATACTGCAAGCTTATTAGTGTAGGATTTTTTAATCAATCAGGGATGTTTTGCACCATGAACTGTCGCTGGGTAGATATGAAATTACTCGATTATTAAAAATAAGAAAGAGAAACAACAGAAATTAACTGTATTTTTTATTTGTATTTCATTTGTTTTCAAATCAATCACAAATGGTCTCTGTTAAAAAGGTAGAAATAAAACATAGAATTTGTATATTTGTGTCTGGTTTTCTTTCTCCGAATGCTTCTGACGACAATGTCAGAAATATTAAATCTCACATTTCACTTCCACATTGCTAGAAAAGACTATGTAATGTACCTTTTACACATCTTTTCTGGCAGATTTTTTCCTCCTTTTCTTTTGCGGAGGCTGCCTCTACTGTCTATCACACATTTCAGCAACAGTTATTTGCATGGGTGGCCTCTTTTTTCTTTCCAGTGTGTGTTTTACTTATTTATTTATTCAATCTCACCTGGCTCAGACAGCACAAACACTTTACAAAATCAAAAAAATCAAAAGTCTACCAATTGACCGTGTTCAGTGTGAACTGATTTATGTAACAATAACATAAAAACAAATAAACAGAGACCACAGTCTTCCTCCGTCCGTGCTGCCAGTCTCTTTTCTTTCTTCCCTGATGTCAGACAGAACTGTTACGCTCCATTTCCATCTTCATAATCAGTCAGCTCAGTCGGTGGAGTGGGCGGATTCATAAGGTCTGGACCCAGGCAATCCCTCCACTGCGGTTTTAATAATGGGTGCTGGGGTTGGGCAGCACGGTTTTCCTCTGTCTCTATCTTTATATCTATCTAGTCTTTATTGTTTACTGTTGGCTTAGCTTTTATGGTTTTGTTTTGTTTTGGTTGTGAAGCATGTAGAGTGAGAATGTTTCAGAGGCAATGTGCCAAAACAACTGCATTAAAAATTGTAAAATAGTTACTCTAAATTGGAGTAAAATTGTCTGACAACAAGCAAAATTATGAATATGTTAAATAACAATGCATAATAGATCATCCAGTCCAGATTTGACAAGTATAGGTATAGTGGTTTTTGATCTGGACATGGTCCAATGTGGTCTTGAAAAAGCGAAATCTACCCTTTTTTTTTGCCTTTTCACAAATAGAATAAATGTTTACTATTCTAAGTATTTTAACACGATTTACAATTTTTAAATAAATTTTTTGAATAGAAAAAATATTGCCTAATCACATTATATATTATATTTCTATATATTAATAATGTATAACTAGTTCCCATGGCACTAACTTGATGAGCAGGAAGAAAAAGTATTTTATTTGCCACTTTTATAAACAGTATAGCAAAAATAATGTGTTTTTAGAAATATGACTCCCTACAGGTGTATGATTCAACCTTCCCACTGATGAGCAATCCACTGAAATACTGGATCACAATACTAAAGAATTGCAATATATTATTATAATATACGGGCCTATTGAAGCATTTCAAACAGTTTGTTTTTGTTTGTTTTTTTACATTCTCACAAATAGAATAACAGTTTCACAAATCTGGACCCATCTTTAAAACAGTCTCTGGTTTCTGTGGAAAAAAATCTAATCCAGATCTGACAAGTCTTAAGTAATAGTTTCTGATCTGGATCTCCAACCAAACACAGTCACACGCCCCGATGTTATATTTAACTTTAAACCCCGCCCACCCTGCAGGATAAAACAGGTTCAGAAGCATTTTACTATAGTTGCACAACCTTAAATAACAAAACCTTTAGATGGAGTAAGAAGCAGAGTATCCGTGGTTGCTTTTACCAACTTCAACCAGTGTCCTCTCATCTGTTTACATCCCAAAAATCTTTAAATTCAGTGGGGGACAATCACTAACACAACACTATAAAGCACGTTAATGTGACTCACATGTGCTGACAATATACAGCCTGATTCTTTGAACGTCTTACCCCCTTTTTAAAAAACAAAAGTGCACCACAGACGGTCTGCTCTGCTGTTTGCTGATAACTTCTGGGAACTATGGAGATGCTCCACCATCCGCCATTGCTGTGTGCAGAGAGAGAAACGGTCCACTGGA